GATTATGTCTTTCCAAATAGTTTCTTGGAGGGTTGGGTAAATGTTTTTCATTTTTTTCAAGTACAAGTGAAAGTTTATTTAGAAAGTCACAGAGGTAGAAGTGAGCCGTAGAAGAAGGGAGCCAGCTGGGCTGCATGGACTCACGAAACAAGTTACAGAGGCCAAGGAAGGGCCCTTGGAACCAAGGAGAAAGAGAGGAAAAGAAAGCGCCTGGAAGAAGGAGGGAAAGATGCGCATGCTCCAGAGAGCCCTAGAGGCGGGTAACTGAGCGCCCCTTTTAGAGGAGGGATGGCAACAGCAGATGGTAGTGGCCTTTCTTCAGATGTCCTCAGTTGGTCAGATCACAAGTTGATGATTCTGTGTTGGCTTCCTAACCTTCTCTCTTGTCACCAATTTTATTCTTGAAATTTTAAGTAACCAAGATCTAAATGGTTTTAATGAAACATTCAGAGCTAGTGTTGAGGGAAAAGGAAGGTGAAAACAGTATCATTTGGTGGCTGAAAAAGCCACCCAAGAGAGACAGTAACTAGGAAGGTCTAAGATTTTGATTCTAATTGCTAAGATTTAGTGTCCTACTTTGCCCTGGATATTCCTTCAGTGGTTTAAGAGAGAACATTGTTCCTGAAGCAACTCAGTGCCTGGAGGGCCTCGGGAACTGGGGGCGCCCAGCTCATTCCACCTGAAGACTCAGGCTTGTGCTGACCTCGCTGGGGTCTGCCGTGCGGAGATGCTCAGGGCGGATTAACGTCTAAAGAAGCAGCTTGGAGCCAGAGAGGTGGAGCGTCCTTGACCATCTGTGTTCGAACCTTAGCCGGATTTTGCAATCAGCTGCAAAGCCACTTGTGTGTGTGCTGATCAGAGAGGTGAGGTTTTATTGGTCTGCTTCTTGCACTGTGGGAAGTACCACCAGACAAAACTGTCCCGGGTTATACCTTACACCATTTACAACAATTAATTTAAAGACTAGAAGAAAATACTTGCAAAGCACGTATTTGATAAAGGAATCTAGAATATAAGAAGACAAGCAACTTAATGAAAACATGACCAAAAGATTTAAATGGACATTTCACCAAAAAAGATGTAGGAATAGTTCATGAACACATGAAAGATGCCCAACATCATTATTCACTGCGGAAATGCAGATGAAGACCACACGGAGATACCACTGCACTTTGAAACGGCTTCAGTCAAACAACCCTGACAATCCCAAGTGCTGGGAGGAGGTGGAGCAACCCTCTCACAGTGCTGGCGGGAGTGCAATATGCTACAGTTCCTCTGGGAAATGGTTTGGCAATTTCTTATAAAGTTGAACATACACTTATAGCATGAGCCAGAAATCCCACTTCTGGAGATTTACCAAGAGAAATAAAGACCTGTGTTCACAGGAAAATCTGGACTCAGATATTTATAGTTTTATTTACAATCACCACAAGCTGGCAGCAGCCCGAAGGCCCTTCAGCGAGGGCTGCGCGTCCATCCACGCCATGAGAGAAAAGGAAGACACTGTTTACATGTGCAGCACAGAGGAACCTCGACTTCATATCCTAAGTAAAAGAAGCCAGTCTCTGAGGTCACATACTTTGTTATCCTACTTATGGGACGTTCTGGAAAAGGCAAAACTATAGGGATGGAGAACAGATCAGTGGTTGCCGGGGTGAGAGGTGGAATGAGGGTTGGAATATAAAGGAAGAGCAGCAAAGGGAATTTGGAGAGGTGATGGACGTAACTTACATCTTGATTGTGGAGGTGGTTACAAGACAAAAATGCATTTGTCAAAGCTTGGACCTATATGCCAAGAAGAGTAAATTTTACCATATACAAATTACACTTTAATAAATCTGGCTTCTGATCATTCAGAATGGAGAGTTCTCCAAGCCTCTGCATTCCATATTGCCTGCTCCCTTCAAGTAATAACCACAGAGCTAGCATGCTGTAGTTTAGCTGTGTACCTGCCCCTGTGGGTAAGCCTGTGCTTTTCTGAGTGTTCTCAGGCCATAAGTCTTGGAGTCATTCCTGACTCCTCTCTTTCCCTACCCCCTACATCAGCCCATCAGCAAACCCTCTGGGCTTGACCTTCAATATAGATCCTGAATCCGACTCCTTTGTTGGCCATTACCACAACAAGCCTTTATTCCTCATTCGTGTTACAATCGGGGAATGCAGGCAGCTGCTGCAGCTCTGCCCCACACGCTGCACCATTCTGGTACCCAGGTTGAAGGAACAGCCTCAATTTGGAAAATATGTTCTCATGACAAAGGGAAAAGAACAGAATGTTCCACACCATGGCTCTTCAGAGAAGTACACTCCTCCCCCGGGGAGGGGGTGGACACTGCAAGAAGTCACCTGGCTACAGGTAAGGACATAGGAAACCCTCTAGGTACAACTTATGACACTGACTCAATGTGCCAAAGGGTTTTCCAGTTTAAAAGGCACAACATTCTAAAATGTGGAAACTGGGGGAGAATGCAGAGTCCACTGTCCAAGTGTATCATAGTCCTCATGTGGCAAAGATCAGGAAAACTGGCAAAGCTTCCAGGGGCTCTGGAGGGTCCCAGATTGTAGGTGTTTACAGATGCAACAGCAGGACCCAGCTTTCCTGGCCCCATCCTCCCCCGAGGCATCTTCAGCATCCACACACAGCACCTCCTTGCTCGTGGA